ATATTACAAGATGGAGCAGTCAAATGGCTAAAGGCTAGATCCTACACAACCACATTTCCCTTCAAACATTCATCATCTGATTTCACTTCTACCTTCTGGTCCACGATGGAGAACAATACATCATGCTTGATATATGTGGTCTGGCTTATTGACAGAATCATTTCTGAGAAGCAGACCGCCCACTCTGTGTTGTTTCTCTTTATGTACATATGGAGCAAAATGAGTTTGATGGAGTCGTCTGATTGTGGAGAAGAAGTCAGCAGCGTTTTACTTTGTTTTACTGTTGAAATGTGACTGAAGTTGCCCGCCCCCCCCCCCCCCCCCCCCCCTCAGTTCCGATCACACTGTGTGTCACATAAATCCCGTCTGAGCTGCAAAATAGTCCAAAACAACATGAAAAGCATGTAAAATGTTGGGACAGGAGCCTGTTTACCACTGCGTTGCATCATGTCTTCTTTTGACAGTACTTGGTTGGAGTTTGGGAACTGAGAAGACTGATCTGAAAGAGTTTTTCAATAGCTGATTGATGTAAGATTGCAGCTCAACAGATCAAGCTCTGCTTTGTTGTACTTTTTTGGTTTAAAAAGAAAAAGCACCAAATGTTTTCAAAGGGGGGACAGGCCTGAAAGGCAGACAACCCAGTGTGGGTCACCTGACTCCTGAATGTGCACTGTGCTCCTGAAAGAAGCTACAGCTTCCCTGGGAGAGGTACCGTTTAGCTAATACAAACAAACAAACAAATAAATAAATAAATAAATAAATAAATAAATAAAAATAAAATAAAAACGCCTAATTCAGAATGACTGATGCCTTCATGGACATTATGGTGTTTTAATACACCACCATGTTGGAATACAGTCTGGATTTTAAACTGTTTGCTGCTGACCAACCAGCTGATCCCTCTCTCTTTACGCATGAATTTAAAACATAATTAGCAAATTTATGTTATTCGTCTCTAGGACACCTTCCAACTTCTGTCCAGTCCATCTTAAACTCAGCAGCGACCCCTCCCCATCTTGACATTTTCAGCCTGTCTGGGATGATTTTCTAATAAATTCTGTTCCAATTTTCTCCCCCTTTTTAAACACAAACGTCCCAGTTTTCCTGGATTGTATTGCTGGCGTAAGACTTGATTGTGTTTCTTGAGTTAATTTCAATGATTTGCAAATTACTCGGTTCTGCTTTGAAATTTGTTTTATTTGGATTTTTTTACACTGCATCCAAGATATCTTGGAAATCTAGTCGGAGCAGATGCCGTGTGCATGCAAATGGGAGATTTTCATTATTGTCTGAAAACATTCATCAGTATTCATTTCAGGGTGTCAGTACCATTGCTGATATATGTGCATTTCCTGAATCAGCATGCAGTTTTGATGCAGGCTTCTTCCTCTTTTGGTGCATTTTTAAAGGAGGAAGATTATAGAAAATATGTGTATATTTTAGTTTTTTATACTTGAGTATAATTATTGAACTTTTTATATTCTGACTTTTGTCTATTTCTTCTGCTGTTTCATTAAGGCATCAATAAACACATCTCACTGGCCTATATAAGCAACATTCTTTAATCGCAAGGTCCAATAGTATTAAAGTTAAGGGTTTGTGGACCTGGTATTTGATGAAAGGATGACGATGCGATTCGTGGATGGTGTCTCAGCAGCAAGCTGCTCGGTGCTGCAGTGTTTTCATAACCCGGACCGGATCAGCACGTGACTCAAAATGAGATTGTGCCTCTCATACAGTAATAACGTGCTTAGAGGGTTATTGAGACGACTGATCTTAAAAGTGGCCCACCCTGCAGAAAAACAGAAGAGGAGCCGAGGTAAATGGGTCACCCTAAAAGCGGCGTAAGTAAACGGTTAAAAAGGGAGCTGTTGCACAGACGGTCTCTCTGCAGTGCAGACATTTTATTAAGGCCTCGGGAAATTGTGTCAACTTGTGAGCAGGGCATGATGTGCCTCCTTTCAGCGTGTTTGGTTAAGGTTTGCATTTGTACAGCTATCTCTAAAACAGGCAAAAAACTGGATGCTTGAACTATTTGCTCCATTTTTTTGTCTGTTATTGCTTGCTTGCTTCTGCTTGCTGACTAGTTTGTACACACTCAATTGCAGCATGTGGTGTCCAGGTGTTACAGCTTACTCAGGATGTTTAGACACATTTCCTATAGAGCTATAAAAAGACATGGAGGAGGCATCACCATCAAGTAAAATGTAGTTATTTTTCCTCACTATATATATATATATATATATAAGAGTGCAGCCTTTTTTCTCCCTTTCTTTCAAAATGAGCTGAGCTGCTCAAGTCTTTACACCTAGCTCTTTGCAGGTTTGAATTGTGCTGTTTATTCGTGTAAAATGAAAAATTAGCTTTGGAGTCTGTGTTCCTTGACGGGATACATCACGGTAAAAACCCTCGATCCAAACACAAAGCCACAAATCTACAATTCCCATCTATGAATTATATAACCGGAGAGCGAAATTTTCCTGTTCTCTTTGCTTTTTATTTTTCCCCAAACAGCAGCCTAAATTGGTCATTAAAGTAAATTTCATCATATTATTTAGAAGCACACCATCAAAGGAGCCATACGCACAACAGCTTTATAATGGCTGTATGTTATCCGGTGCCCTTTAACACTACACTGAACACAAAATGATGTGGCAAAAATAAATCTAATTACCCAGCCATCGAGCATCAAAAGCCGCGCCGGTGGAAGAGGCTCCGAAGACGACGAGAGCCAAGAAACAAACAGGGAAAGACTCTGTTTGGATTTACTACAGAGAGGCAGTAAAAACAGCTATTTCCTGCTTTTATACACTGTTAAATTTAAACTAATTAATAAAAAATGACAGAGGGAGCAAAAACACATTTACTTTAACCCTACACAATCTAAAACAGATGATAGGATTGCTAATTTAATTTAGATAATGAAGAGAAACGCTCTTGAATGGTCGCAAATAAAAGGAAGGAATAAATTATTCTCTGCATGACATAAACAGAGGGAGATTTGTACTTTAGTTTGTTCTGGACAGAATAAATCAGAACTGAAGGGTTCCAGAGAATTTCTGCTTTTAACGCCTCTTTAGGAATCATTTCTGATGTATTTTGTTTCTGTGACTATTACCGCTGTGTCTTTACAGTCAGCCCCTCTTCATCTGATAGTCACACTTCGTTTATACTCCTGAAACACATTTTTTAATAGAACGTAATCTTTTGAACATAACTGTTGTTTTTTATTTTAAACAAAGTAAAAGAGCTCCAGAGGATTCCACCAAAGTTTATAGTTTTCAACATTAAACATCATTCCGGTAAAATTAATTTAACAATTTAAAACACTGATTTACAAATGTTAGTGATGCCTTGTGTTTGGTAGAATTTGTTTAGGAACGAGGGACTAACCCATGCAGAAAATCTGTAATCTCTTTACTTTAGGACCTGTGGATGATCTTTGTAGTGCAGTAACACAAAACCACTTCAGTCATATGCATATTTGAACTGCTGTATCACAAAATCCTAATCTTTGTTTTTATGTTGTAAGCATTAAGCTATTACTGAATGGTGTCAGTATGAAGAACTGAGAGGACTTTGGCTCTAAACAGTTTCCAAGTATACATGTTAGCAAGGGTGGGGGTGGGGGTGCCGCCAGGGCTAAAGGCTTTAGCAGCTTATATCTCAATCACAAACTTTCAAGCTAAAAATCATATGAAACTAAAAATTCTACGTATGAAAAGCAGATAAAAAAATAATTTGAAACCAAATAATTGATGCCAATGCTAACGTTAGCATGACAGCACCGCTCCCTGCCACAGGACAGTGGGACTCAAGGCAGGGTGTGTTGTTCTTTTACTAATCCTTGCTATGTGTAAACAGGTCAGATTGTTCAGTCTTTTGTTAATTTTAACAGACATGAACACAAGTTGTGTAAAACATCTGTCAGAATAATCCCGTAGTTTGGAACTGACCAAAGTTTAAGATAGATGTTTAAGCATTTGAAAGATGTTTTTATCAAACGTCACATATGGGCCATTCCCATCTGTACCTGGTCCGCCCGGCCCGGATATCAGGCCACATGGGCATAAGGCATGCTCAATTCATTATTATTCATTATCATGCTGATTACCTAGAAGCTGAAAATGTCTCTGACTGCATTCCTTGCAAGTAAGGATGTGTGGAATCAACCGGGCCAGGGCGGGGCCGACTGGAGCTATCCGGGCAGGGCCGACCAGGTACAGATGGGAATGGCCCATAGGTGAGAAAGCAAGTTGGGTGAAGAGTCGTGTTTAAGAGCTGCTATTGAACTGGCAACCTTCCTATTTAGGATAATCTGCTCTATCTTGTAAGCCACTGCCACCCCAGATGAACCAATATAATATTTTAAGATTTAGGTCGTTTTAAAAGTACATAAATATATTTTGTTACCAGCCTTACTGAAATGAATGGTTAGCCTGTTTCTTTATGGTTACAATGCTGTTTATCTAAGCTGAGGCTGTTCAGAAAGCAAAAATAGATCAAAATAACCAACTTCTACAGTCCCTGTAAGAGAGACTGTTATTGAGTTTATCTTAAAACTCAGCTGCAAAATAAAAACTCAAAACAAAACCAAAGTATTGTTAATTGCTCAAAATTTATCTTTAATGTTTGTAAAGTCCCACTAATCTAACATAGCTTAGTAAAACTGAACATGACCAGATTTGAACCTTTAAAATATCCCCAAAAAAGTGACAAAGTGTGAAATGTTTCAATTTTGCTTCAACTATCAGAAACCTGTGAAGCTTTAAATACAAGCATTGTTTTAAGCACCACGGGGTCCATTCCTGTAAGACTTCATTAAAATCCACAAGCCAAAATGTGTCTTAACCTTTATTTTAGGGTTCAATAATTAAATAGTTCAGGAACTTGTAATCTGTTTAAAAACCACACTAACGATTCTCCCATGTTCAGCGTTGACCTTCAGTAATGAACCTTGGACATTTGTCAAACAGTGTGCAGCAACACGACATTTTTACCTCTACAGGGAACCTTCTGCCATTGATGCTGTGTTCTGAGCCTGCTGATCCATTACTCTGGCCCCAGTGAAACTCCATCTTCTCAGCCTTAAAGCGCCCTGGCAGTCCGGCACCTCTTACAAAGTAGTCATCCTTTAGGAGCACAGCCACTGGAGACAAAAAGGGAAATGAACAGACGTGGAAATTTAGGGACTTCAGTACAAAAGCAATTGCTTTTTCATTAGTTGTCAGAATAGCTGCTTGTGTTTTAAACACTGATCTTATACAAGGATAACCTGCTTTACTTATTGCAAACTTTATTTAATGTATAATAAAGGAAGATACAGATTTCTACCTACTTCAATAAAAGGGATTTTGTTACTTTGTGAGACTCGCAGAACAAACGGTCTAACAAGCCAACAAACCTTGAATCATCTCAACTTTGGAGGCTCTTTAAGACATACGTAAAGAAATAGCTAAATGCATCATCTGTGGCTTGCACCTCCACAAAGATCCTTGTGATGTTCTATTCACAGAAGCACTAGCATGCCTCCCCCAGTGGCCTTCAAATCCCCGGTTGACTGCGAGAAATGAAAAGAACAGGTTCAGTCAAAGCCAACTTTTCTCTAATTGTTGCACGACTTGCCAGGAAGGCATGATGGTATTCGCACGCCTTGTGATCTTTATCCACATGCCAGCTCTTTTACAAGGCTGTACTACCACTGCTTCTGCTGCAGAATAGCTGACATTTTCCCTTTCTCTCTCATGTAAGATCATTAACTATAAAAGAGATCTCTAAAGAGAAATTCCTTGGATTTTGTTTTTTTTTTATTTTGGTAGAAAATATTTGCTTTGCCAGACTGTATTTAAATTTGTATTTAACACTTAAATAGTGCAGAAACTGTGTACGACATCAAAAGTAGTGATTGTAGAGGCTCGGGCATTTTGATATTTTGTAAATTATTTGATTTCTAGCAGAGAACTACAGGGTAATCATATGTGTACAAATTATTCCAACGATGTGACATTTTTGGGCCGATACCGATTTCCGACGTTAATATCACTGTTATGGCTGATAACCGATATTTGCCGACACCGATATGCTGACATTAATGCTTCTAAAATCAGCAGATTCGAATAAAAATCATTAAAGCTGAATTTACGTTACTATGTACACACACCACACACATTTATGCTTCTGAGATGATTACAATCAGTCACATGACTAAATAAATACACATCACCCCCCTCACCCTCTGAAATAGATAAATAAATGGAAACAAGAGGGAAAAAATATCGGTTGTTAATATCGGGCCAGTTTTATTTATTAGATCGATACAAACATGTTAAAAATGGCTAACATTGGTCAATATTGATGCAGATATATCATGCGTCCCTAGCACAAATCAAAACTTCATCTTCTATACTGTTTTCTACAGTAGTGCCACAGAAAGCTGGTGTTTGACTTCAGCAGCCATCAGACAAGAGATGGGGGAAAATTTGTGGAGACACCAATTACCACAACACGCATGTTTTAGGTCAGTGGGAGGAACTTGCAAAAACCCATAGTCGAGGTTTAAACCTGTAGCTGTATTGCTGTGAAGCAGCAGTCCTACCAACTGCATCACTGTGCAAACACAATAAAGACACCCCAACCAAACTATGGTGAATAATGTCAATGTGGTTGAAGACAGACGCTAGATATTGGCACCAGCTGTAGGAATGTGATACTGCGAAGGATGATGATGTCTTTGCTTTTAAAGAGTAAAATAAAACTTATCAGCATGCCATTTGTGTTTATGTCACAGTGATATATAAGAAGAGACAGCTCGTTGAAAAAGATCCTACAGTGAGATGAATAGGACTTTGGCCTGAGTTTGAACCTCAGAGTAGTAAAAGAGGTTAAGATGGGGACATTATTCAACATGTGCATCAAGATGGAGCTCAGAAACATGGGTGGGTGACTGTCCAGCAATAAATTATATTGTTTTTAATAATGTACCATACATCATTCTCAAATTTCTGAGGTAAATATTTAAATTCAGTTTATTTGTCATTAAAATATTTCAATTTAAATTCAATTGAGATAATTTATATCATGCCAATTCACGACAAGAGTAACCTTAGTTTCCTATGTAAGGAAACCCAGCAGATTGTATTGAGTCACAGACTTGTTGTTGTGTCAGTGACTTTACAGCAATCCCCATACTATGGCTAGCCAATATATCAAAAATTTATAATCATTAAAAATTTTGACTAACCGATAGAATAATTATATATATATAATTTTTCCCATGTCAAATTTGATAATTAAAAAATGAAAGGATGCGTGAAGGTTGGAGACATTCATGTCCCTTTAAGAAGCGGTACCACCTTGAGTCAATTCACTTCAATTCAATTCATTTCAGATTACTTATATAGCGCCAAATCAGGACAAGAGTCAAGGAACTTCACAAAGTAAATATTAAAATACAGTTCAGTTAAAAATGTCAATCACTAAAGAAAATCCTATATAAGGAACCCAGCAGATTGCATCAAGTCACTGACTAGTGTCAGTGTCTTTACAGCAATCCTCATACTAAGCAAACATGTGGCGACAGTGGAGAGGAAAACTCCCTATTAACTCATTTACTGCCACTGACAACAAAAGTTGTCATTTTAAATCCAAACGCTCGCTGCCATGTGTTTTTACTGGGTGGGCGTCGGAACGAGCCCCCGCGTCGCGAGAACAAACATCACAGCTCTAAAGCCAATCTTCTTCTGCATATGTCACACGTCATGTGGCCAGGAAGCAGAAAATCCATGTGTTAGGCGATCGTTTTGGGCCGCTGCTGTGAAAAAAGTGAGGCGCAAACTAGAAAAGCTTCTGCCGATCACAATTCGACAATGGATTATGAAAGAACAAATAAACATGCAGATTCTTCCTGATGTAAGAAGTGAGTCTCCTCTCTGTTTTGGTAGCTTTGGCGTTGACATCAATTTAGAGCACAACATTCTGTTACTCTGTGACTCAAAAAACAGTAAAAACACTCAAAAAAACGCTGGCAGCGAGAGGCTTTTCTGATCAGGAAACGGCCGGCAGTTAATGAGTTTACAGGTAGAAACATGACAATGTGACTCAATGTAATACATGTGACAGCCCCATCTAGAGGGTAACTTTTGTATTCGCGCATACATGTAATGGTACATTTATCATTATCGAGGTCAGGGTTTTTCCTGGCTCAAATTGAGTAACATTTTAGGTTTATATTAATAACACTCAGTCAAAATAACACATAAATATATCCAGTAAAATATAATGCATTTCATTAACATGCATTTGTATTGGAAATGTTAACATTTAATTTCTGCTGCTAACAATGTAATGGTAGCAAGTCTATTATGTACGGGTTGGCAATAATCCAGTTCAAATTATGCTCAAAGGTAAAAGCGTTTGTGAATTATACACTACAATGGGCTTGCCGTACTTCCTGCGCCAGCAGTAATGTGACTCGTATCTGCAGCGGTTCTGATCCATAGCACTTAGTGATGGGAATTCCGGCTCCTTTTACAGAGCCGGTTCTTTTGGCTCAGCTTACCAAAACGAGTCGGCTCTTTCGGTTCCCAAGCGGCTCCTCAGATTTGCTGTTGCATAGAGTACATTTATAACCAAAATTATGCAAAACTATCTGTGAAATGGTTTACTAATGTAAAATAAATACATCTATCAAATATTTATCATTTCTATGGATTTAATAACTGAACACTTTAAAAAATCTCCACTTTCCGAGTGCTGCCGCTCATTTTCTCACCGTCTTCTTCGCACTCTCCTCTCTCTCGCTTGCCTTTTTCCTCCTCCTCATTCCCTCTCATCTCCCTCCACCCGCATGTGCTCTGCTGTGTGTCTGAGTCTGATCCTCCCTCTTTCCCGCCCCCACTGCTCTGTGTGTGGACAGTCTGGACATGCAGTTACACGTTGACCAATCGCCTGTAGCTTTCACTAAAGCAAGAGGGGAGGGGGGAGGGGACGGCTCCCAATGACGAGCCGGCTCCCGTCGTTCACTTCAAAGAGCCGGCTCAAGAGCCGGCTCTTAGAGCCGGTTCGTTCGCGACCGACACATCACTAATAGAGCTCCGGACCCCACGTGACTCTCAGTTAGTAGACGACACAATGGCAGGTAAAAGAATCTAAACAAACACGGATGTAAACATGAACGTGAACGGGATCGGCTTGGATTTTACTTCGTTGGAGTTTACTTCACTCTTTAAAACCGAAGAAATCCTTTCATATAGTCAGAAATTAAATAGACTAAACATCTCCGACCCTTACCGTGACCCTGGGATACTTTTTAAAAACGCCAGAAGCTGTCGGAGCGGACTTCTTACCGGACCTGGCCGGGGAACCCCTTGGGATTTACCCGGACGAGTTGGCTCAGGTGGCTGGGGAGAGGGAAGTCTGGGCCTCTCAACGCTACATGCCCCCGCAACCCGACTCCGGATACGCGGATGCAAATAGATGGACAAATAACAGATTTACACGTAAGTAGTTTAAATAGAGTGTTGTGCTGTTTGAATGTATAAACTGAACGCCAAGAGAAATCACTTGTTTGATTTTTTTACGTGAATAAAATAAATATGTCAGGCAGGAGCGTCAGGATCTGTCTGAGATCTGTCTCGGTGAGACAGATAATAGCAATCCAAAGTGCTTTCTATGTGTGATCTGACAATTGATTAACCATTGCTTAAAAATTAAATACAGCTTAGCCGGTTAACTGATGTGATCATAAAACACGTAAACGGCAGCACGCAGAAATCACAAGGAAACGTTTTACGTGATGTTTACTTGTTGTTATGAGTAATAAGACAGAAAAAAGCCACGCCAAAATAAGTTTAGGAAGCCCACTAAGAATCGTAATAAAAGCATTTAAAATAAATACCATACACAGTTGAGGAAACGTTTAAGTACCTGATATGAAGTTGTCGCTGCATAAGCGAAAGCCTTTACTCTCGGGATCCCACAGTTTCATTTTAGCCCGGTCACTAGTGCGTTTTATTACAATGATCCAACGTTTGCGGCGTTCCGGATCTTGGGGAATCCTGTAGACGGCTCATTCCTTATGTCGTCCGCGTTTGTTCTGCATCCTGGGGCACAACAGGAATCTACCATATTTCCCGTCTGATTGCGTTTTCT